CAGTATGCAAGTATGATGTAACGTCACCTGTTTAGCCGTCTGTCCGACGCTTTCTCTCCTGGCAGCTGCCCCCCTTTTTTTATTATTGGCCAAAATTAGATGACCCCGTGTTGATTCAGTTTCCCCGAGTTATATTACGTTTTACAAGGTCAGAACAACAAGATTGTTTCTGTACACGTCCATGAGAGACATGAGGCGCTGTCTGTTAGTCTCCATCACACGGACTTGATCTCCTGTCATATGCACCACAAAACCGCACTTAGGAGAGGAATTTTATGACGACGTTTCGCTCCGTCGTAACCACTGTCAAGTCAGAGTTTTGAAAATTTGTCTTATTTTCTCGTCACAGACATGAGGTAATGAAATCTGTCAGCCTGAACTGGGAGCATATCGATAAGGGCAACTTCAAACTTGCCATTACAGGTTCAGTTGTTGCGGCAGCTTTACGAAGGTTTCCTTTGGCAATCACGATTAGGCTGATTGATCAGAGGCTGGACCCCGATTAACAGACGATGGATTAACCCTTCGCTGCTCTTTACGCTAACATACAAATGCAGGTTTCCTTTACGATAGCACTAACACAGACTTTCTTTCCGGAGCTGAGTTTACATATCAAGTGTCTTATTTTTGGTAAACGAAAACAAATGGTTTTAGAAGTCTACATCGTAGTCTACGTAGAGTAAATGGCAGATACCATATAAATATTTGGCTTTGGTTACCTGTGAAAACATTAATTTAAAGGTCAGTTAATGGAGTTATTTCTGTCTCACGCTGACGGTGGTGCTTCGTCTTGGCAAAACTTACTGTGTTCACCTGTTTGTGGTCGAGTCACAGCTCCTGGCCCCCGCCTCTTCTGTAGTTGCTACTAGGGCCACTCTCCCTACTCTAACAGCCTTATCGTACCTGCCACCTTTGTTACAGCGTCCCACGTTACTGTGCTGTGTATAAATGCGTCGTACATGCTACTGTATCGTTTACTACCAATGCGTCGTACGTAATAGTGCGTTGTGTACTGTATCAGGGATGCATAGGTGGAACACAGGAAATATTTGCCAGACACGCATTCACTTAGGTTCTCTACACATATGCTGCTATGTATGATAATTCTATGTAACTGTATTTGTGTATACCTGAATAAATTTACTTACTTACTTACTTATTCACTCCTTCTCTCCCCTCATTCCTTCATTCTCTTACTTCCTCTTCTCCTCTGCTTCCTCTCCCACATTCTCTTCCCCACTCTCTCCCATTCACACCCTCACCCATTATGGGTACAATGATTAACATGGGTATTAAATGTTTGGGAGCATTGAGGTGACTCGGTGGCCTGGTGGCTAAAGCTCCCGCCTCACACACGGAGGGCCCGGGTTCGATTCCCGGCGGGTGGAAAACATTTCGACACGTTTCCTTACACTTGTTGTCCTGTTCACCTAGCAGCAAATAGGTGCCTGGGTGTGGGTCGCATCCTGGGGGACAAGATTAAGGACCCCAATGGAAATAAGTTAGCCAGTCCTCGATGGCGCACTGACTTTCTTGGGTTATCCTGGGTGGCTAACCCTCATGGGTTAAAAATCCGAACGAAATCTTATCTTATCTTATCTTAAAGATAAAAGCAAGAGGAGGTGTACTACACTTCGGCCATTACAATGAATCTCAGTGTACAAAAACAGAGATCAGTTGCAAAAAAAAAAATTGCCCAATTTCGGTGCTAGAAATTTTAATACAATACCAAAAATCAGAATTTTTGCAACTAGAGTGTGCCTTTCAGACAGCACCTTCGTGAACTTGTGCTGGTTAATCCGCAAATTACGCGAAAGACGAAGACATAATGAAGGAGTTTAGAAGGGTGACCCCTCAAGGAAGGTCCCTTGATGCTGGTGAGGGGCTCTTGATCTAGGGACTTGAATCTGTGCTCCAGTTCCCCGAATTAAGCCCCCCTACAGGCACTGTATAATCCTGCGGGTTTAACGCTTCCCCGTAATAATATTAATAATAATCAGAAGGGAGACAAATCTTTGCAAACAAGACATTGCGATTTATGGCATTTTTTGGTGAAGACGTTTCGCTCACTAGGGACTGTATCGATTCGCAAATTGATAAAGTCTCGGGTGGGCGAAACGTCTTCACAATAAGTTGCCATAATGCACATTGTATGTATTATTCACATAATATCGGTCTACTTAACCACTGTATTACCAAGGGTAACATATTTAGTATTTTCACAGACTTTTTAAACTCTGTGAAGACAGACTCAGAGCACTAATACTTTTTAAATAAAAAATTTAGGAATATAGAGGAATAAGAAATGACCTCATTTATACCTGGAGTATACCAGGAGAGAGTTATGGGGGCCAACTCCCCCGCGGCCCGGTCTGTGACCAGGCCTCACTCATGGTGGATCAGGGCCTGATTAAATATCTTCTAAATATTTAAAAAAAAAATCTATATTACCTGGAGTTTACCTGGATCATATATTCAAAATTGTTTTATTTAAAGCGCTATACAGCTCAATGATACGAAGTATGGATTAAAACAAAAAAAAAAACTTTGAAGTAGGAGCTGCAATGCAAATGTAGCTAAATACTTATTTTATGTACCAACAGTCACAGATTACTGAAACAGACGGCCCTAATATGACGTTAATACAAAGAGGAAAATAAACCAGCACTTTACAAATATGAGATTCAATTACACTACACAACGAGATAAAGTCACTTGATGAAATGAAAATGCTGGCCCACAGATGGCTCCAACTTCATCCTGTTCCCAACTTGTATGTCTCATAACAATAAAAATGCTTTCAAATGAGCTGATGTAGCTAACAGCTCTTAGCTTGCCAATAAAGTTAGGAATCCTTAACCTGTAAATAGCTTGTCAATAAAGCTAGGGATTCTTAACCTTGTCAAACCCTGTGCAAAAAAAAAAAAAAAAAAAAAAAAGTAACCCGCACCTACGAGAGAGAAGCTTATAACGACGTTTCGGTCCTCTCTCCTATGTGCGGTTTGTTTATGTATTGTTCCAGTCACGGTGTTGTGACTTCTTGTTCTTTAGTTACGTGTTCGAAGGCATGCCAATAACCCAAAAATCCTTCTCCGTGAGGCTAGTTATAACTGATGTGGGGAAAATATTATTAAAAATACTTAAATAGTGATCACTGAGACATCGAATCCAGTCCATGAATTACATGCCTTTGCATGAGCCCCTCAGGGTCACCTCTCAGGGATGATGCACTGCGCTGTATGACCCTACTGGGTTTAGTGCTTGGTTTTGTTTATAATAATCCGAGGGATGATGAAAAAACGAACAAGCCATATAGACTATGTGTGTAGTAGGCTATAATATCCAGGTTTGTGAAAGTACACTATGACGTCCGCGTAACTACCAAATCTTCGCTTAACAACGCATTTCTCAGAACGTATCCCCGTCGTTAAGCGAAACATGGACTCGTACGAAGACAGGAAATCATTTGGATTGTAAATTATACAGTCATGAGTGGGTGGGGCCATAAACCCGGGCGGAGGATTGTCGTGATTCACTTGTACAATGAAATATTGAGTGTGGTGGAGTTGAAGCGTCGCTGATCCATCCCAACACGCAGGTCTCGTGTTGGGTCCCACACTCGGTCGCACCCCGGGGGAAATATTTTATAGTGATGACGGGTTAATATCCCAATAAAATTTTCGTCTTGTCTTTTTGTTGTTGTTCTTCCTCCTTTCTTCTTATATTTCTTCCTCTTTCCTTCTTCTTATCATTATTATTATTGTTTTTCGTCACTGTATACACTATCTCACACTGCTTATATTGCCTCACACAACAAATTTATAACCCCCCCCCCCCCCCCCCAAAAAAAAAAAGCCTGAACGAAGCGGGTTTTTTTTTTTTCTCGAAAAATACATATAGGATTTCCCTAGAAACTGGTAAATAGACTGATGAAAAGAACAGGGCATATATTGTGCCGATTTCCCAAAACTATAGGTGGCAGGCCTGTTTCACTGTCAAAAGTTGTTGAAAAAAAAAAAATGCTGAGAAAAAACGTTAAATACAAAAAATAAGACACCATTGGATAAAAAAAAATATATACTGGCTTCAAAAGTTTTTTATATATCAGAAAATATCTGTGTATTAAATATATCGAGCTCTACGAGAAAAATTCTGTTCCAGAATTAAATGTATTAGCTAACTACATAAAATCTGACCATAAGTGGGTTTTCAAGGATTTTTTTTTTCTTTTCCATGAAAGATTTGAAAACTCTAAAAACATATAGGATGAATACAAAGCAAACTATTGCAACTAATGATGGATTTTTCCCGTTTGCAGATCTAAAAGCAGAGACACTAGCCACTTAAAATTGTCCCCAGGAGGTGATGCCGCCAGCGAGGTACCGCAAGGATGATCACTGGTCTCACTGATCTTTATTTTCTTATATACAGTACATGAGGTATAAGAGATACATGTCTAGTACATACTGTTACGTGTTTGTCACTGATTATAATGCGAAAATCTCATCCAGTTCCTCAGAGCTGGGGCGCGTGCCCAAAATATAGCAGGTATTACCTCTCTGAACAGCAGCACTGAGCCGCTGGAACAGAAAACTAGCTGCCCTTGGATCCCTAGTTATCCTGATGAGTCTTTTGCCTAGCTCCTTAAGGAACTTAGATGTACTCTTTCCCCATGAGCCGAGGGTCTCCGAGCCTGTGGGAACAAACACATAAAGATGGGCAAGTTCTCCATATTTTCTAGACTTTTGGGACTCCCTGAAGCTAGCGGCTGCCCCTCCTTCACTCATAGTCGTTTAATTCTTTGTGAAATACAACACAGTTTATCGTAAAAAAACATAATTTACCCTAGCTAAATTATAGGTATTAAAAAATTATCCATGAGCTGTTTATTTTAGTGATGAAATTTTTGGCTAATATGCCGAAAGTTGCTCAAAGAACAAGTGGAATTTCTAATGGGGAAAAATTGAATTAGGTGAATCATAGGTTTGTGTTGCACTTACTGAGAGGAGAGGAGAGCACTTTATACTGACACCCGTTGAGTGTACCAGCCTGTGTTACTGTGATGCTGCTGTTACCATTACTGCACCACCCCTCACCCACCACCACCACCCCTCACCCACCCCCACCACCCACCCCCACACAACCACCACAACCCCTCACCCACCACCACCACCACCCCTCACCCACGACCACACAACCCCTCACCCACCCACCACCACCCATCACCCACCACCTCCACCCCTCACCCACCACCACAATCCCCTCACCCACCCCACCACCTTCCACACACACCCCTCACCCACTCACCACAACCCCTCACCCACCCACCACCACCCCCACCCCTCCACCCTACCACCACAACCCCTCACCCCACCACCACCACTCCCTCAACCACCACTCCACCCTTCACCCACCACCACCACCACCCCTCACCTCCACCACCCACCCCTCACCCACCACCACCACCCCCCCTCACCCCTCACCACCCACCACCCCCTCACCACCACCCACCACCACCACCACCACCCACCCACCACACACCACCACCACCCCCTCCCGCCACCACCACACCCCTCACCCACTCACCACCACCCCCCACCCACCACCACCACCCCCCCACCCCCACAACCACCCCTCACCCCCACCAACCCCTCACCCACCACCACCACCCTTTACCCACCACCCCACCACCCTTCACCCACCACCACCACCATTACAGGGACTACCCTCACCCACCACCACCACCACCCCTCACCGCCCCCACCACCCCTCACCCACCACCACACCACCCTCACCCCCACCACCACCTCACCCCCCCCTCACCCCCACCAACCACCACCACCACCCACCCCCTCACCACCACACACCCTCACCCACCCCACCAACCACTCCACCACACCCCCCACCACCACCCCCTCACCCCCACCACCCCCCCCTACCCCCACCCCACCCCAACCCCTTCAAACCCCCCCCCACCACCACCACCCCACCCACCACCACCACCCCTCACCCACCACCCCCCCCTCACCCACCACCACCCCCTCACCCACCACCACCCCCCTCACCCACCACACCACCCCTCACCCACCACCACCACCTCTCACCCACCACCACCACCACCCTTCACCCACCACCACCTCATTACAGCACTACCCCTCACCCACCACCACCCACCCCCACCACCCCCTCACCCCACCACCACCACCACCACCCCTCACCCACCACCACCACCCCCACCCCTCACCCACCACCACCACCATTACAGCACTACCCTCACCCACCACACCACCCCTCACCACCACCACCACCCTCCCCCGCCACCACCACCCCTAACCCACCACCACCACCCTCACTCACCACCACCACCACCCTTCACCCACAACCCCCACCATTACAACACCACCCCTCACCCACCACCACCACCACCACCACCCCTCCACCACCACCACCACCACCCCCCCTCACCCACCACCACCACCACCACCCCTCACCACCACCACCACCTCACCCACCACCACCACCACCACCATTACTGCACCACCCCTCACACACCACCCCACTATTACTGCACCACACCTCACCCACCACCACCACCAACCACCACCACCACCACCCCTCACCCCCACCACCACCACCACCCCTCACCCACCACCACCGCCCTCACCCACCACCACCACCACCCCTCACCCATCACCACCACCACCCCCACCCACACTACTACACACCACCACCCCTCACCCACTACTACACCACCCCTAACCCACCACCACTACTACAGCACCCCTCACCCCCACCACCACCACAACGAGTCTGCAACACGCCCGTGGCTGTGAATGACCCGCGGGGTTTTAGCGCTTCGTGTGGAGAAATTTTCTCCAGGAGGGCGGTATCAGCCCCCTTCAGCCCTTTCAGCCCTGAGGGGCCCAGCCCTCTCAGAAGGGGCAAGCGTCTTGTTTACTGCTACAGTGAGTAATTAATCCCAGATGCAGTACCAGTATACGACCTGTGGTCAAGCGACCGCCGCTCCGTGCGGTCCAGTGTTGCAGAGTGTATTTTAATAAGAGACAGTACATCTCTTACCTTAGCAGGACAATTAAGGAAAATCCTGCTCCCACTTTATTACCATAGTAAAGATAGTGGACATTGTTGTCTATGCTTAAGACAGCAAGATTTAAACATTCTGCTTTGCCTCATGGAGGAAGTGGCAAGGAAGCAAAAGTACTAGGTCAGCTTTTCCTTTGTGCTGGGGGCAGTGACGGCGTGGGGCGTTGTGGCGTCTTCAGATTACTTTTGACTCTACTGAGAGTGACATTGACGCCAGGATAACCAACAAAGAACGATCTGTGCGTTAGTGTGAACAAAGTGTCTCACAAAACACAATAAACACTTAAGAGAAGTGTGATCAACTTCTTTAGTGATAAGATTGTGAACAATAAAGACAAATCTTGTGGAACATAGTGTACCAGTGTGTGTATTCCTAGACTATGGAAGACGAGGACATCCAAGGACACTTCAGCTTCTATCAAGTCACCGATATCTGTCGAAGGTGTGAAGAACACCATAGCTCACGCTACAAGAGTTAGTTTAATATGTTTATTATGCACCCCATACCCATCCTGTGGGCGGTAGTCAAAAGATTACAGAGGTACATAATTGGTCCAGGGACTGGACTCCAAAGTTTTGATAGCTGAGCAAGTTACAGAGGTAATGAACTCACAATTTACAAAGGTAATGAACTCACAATTTACAAAGGTAATGAACTCCAGGTAGGTCTGGTCACAATCATGACAAGTTACAAAGGTATTTACAGATTACTGAGGTACGTAATGGGTCCAGGGACTGGGCCCCCAAAGTTTTGATAGCTGAACTAGGTACAAAGGTAATGAGCTCACAAGTTACAAAGGTAATGAATTCTGTAAGAATGGTTACTTACGTTTATACATGGCTACAATCATGAACAAATTATAGTGTAATGAGCAATTCACACTTCCACACCCGGTCACAACTGTAATAAGTTATTGGTGCAAATATTGATTGTTGAGACACACACACACACACACACACACACACACACACACGCGCGCGCGCGCGCAACCACAAATAGGTGAGTACACACAGACACACACAAGAGCAAGGTAGGTTACGAATTTCTTGTAGTACGGGGGACTGCGCAGTTCTTGAGTGGCAAGGAGTTTGTAATCAACCTATAGTTGGCAGTTAGGTGCGGACTTTTGAGTCCACACAAGTAAGTTTGTCAGCCATCAGTGAATGAAATATGCTGACATAACACCCCCTAGGGGTAATTTATAATCTTACAAATTATAACTCATTCCAGCCCGTTGAGAGATGATCATGACAACAATTCAAGATCTCGTCTGCAGGGGCGTCTGTGTAGACGATTTGCTGTCTTTTATCAGCTAAGTGTTGACTATATTTAAAAATTATAAATTATATCTTAGTTGGTAAAGCCATTTCTCAACACTTCGGGTGAATATAATTATAACTAATAATAATATACATATAACCAGCACAAGCCTAAAATAAGAGAAATATAATTGGGAGGGAGCTCAGCCCCCTCCCCCCATACTCTCAATGCTAGTAAATAATCAGGAATATATATTGAATATATAAACTAGCACTATATAATGAATACGGATTAGCAATCTATAATGAATTACAGAATAATGATGAAGAAGGATTACAGGGTGTAGATTTTTAAAATAATGAAATGAATGGAGAATAGCAATATAGAATTAATACAGTGTAATAATAGAATGAATGAAGAATATCAATAAGGAATAATGATATGATATCATTGTAAAATGGATATTTAATAATTTAGTAACTGAATTATGCACACCCATTCCCGTCCCCTGGGAGGTAGTCAAGATATTACAGAGACACTTAATGATGGGTCATTTTGACTTTTTTGGGTTATCCTAGGTTCTCTACACAATGCTGCTATGGAAATAAATGGTATAAAATACCGACACAATGGAAATATAAACACATATGCAGTATAATGTGATCCTTTATTGACTACGTTTCGCCCACACAGTGGGCTTTTTCAAGTCACAAACAGAACTACCTGGAGTGGAAGGAACGCGAGTATTTATAAATACTCGCGTTCCTTCCACCCCAGGTAGTTCTGTTTGTGACTTGAAAAAGCCCACTGTGTGGGCGAAACGTAGTCAATAAAGGATCACATTATACTGCATATGTGTTTATATTTCCACAATGCTGCTATGTATAATAATTTATGTAAATGTATTTGTGTATACCGTGTATATCTGAATAAAGTTAATTAGTTTATCCTAACGAGTTATTTTTGGAAGTTGTCAATTTAGAATAATTAAAAACAATGTTAATATGGAATGAATCAATAAGTTAAGAGAGGCGGTTGGTGGTGTGTATCGCAAGTTTTTATTTATTTATTTATTTATTTGATACAGAGAAGTACAAAATTGTATGTGAATGGTAGACAAAATTGTATGTGAATGGTAGACAAAATTGTATGTGAATGGTAGACAAAATCGACATGAAAATTAGACACGGCAACATCTGGGTATCTTTATTGTAGACGTTTCGCCATCCAGTGGCTTTATCAATACAGATTCGAGGACATAATTGAAAGACAGAAGAACTGTATACAAAAGATGACTCCTCATGGAAGGTTCCTTGATGCTGGTGAGGGGCTCTTGATCTAGGGAATTGGATCTGTTCTCCATTTCCCTGAATTAAACCTGAATACCTTCCACATCCCCCCCCCCCTCAAGTGTTGTATAATCGTACGGGTTTAGCGCTTCCCTCTTGATTATAATAATAATAATAATAACACAAAAGATGAGGGATTGATTACCTCGTCTTTTGTATATAGTTTTTCTGTTTTTTAATTATGTCCTCGAATTTGCACTGACAAAAACCACTGGATGGCGAAACGTCTACAATAAAGATTGTAATAATGTTGCTAGAATTACCGACAATATGTAAAGCAAAAAAGGACACAAGTGCAACTAATGTGACATTTTATTGTGGCAACGTTTCGCTCGGCTTGATAAAGTTCCTGAAGAGCGAAACATTGCCACAGTAAAATGTCACATTAGTTGCACCTGTGTCCTTTTACTTAAACAACTATGATAAAATCCTTAGTATTAAGTAGACTGTAAGTCAATAATGTTAAGTTGGCTTACTTACTTACTTACTTACTTACTTAATACCTAGGCATAATAGAGGCTCTCTTTGCATTGCAACCCACTATTGTAAATAAAAAAATCTCAATGTACTGTTTGCAAAGACATAAAATAAATAAATAATTAAATAATAAAGATATCTTGAAGATGCACGTGTCAAATTTTAATTCAGGTATCGTAAGTGTAAGCGAGCAGCGGCTACCACCTCAGGCGTCAGTTCAAACAAGTTGTTGCTGTGTTCTTCCTTCAGTAATGTCTACTAAGAGGAGGATGAGCATGGGACGCACGCCAGGGAAGCGCCAGCGTCAGGAGGAGGATGAGGAGAGGAAGAAGGAAGCATTACAGACAGGGAAAACAGCTGCCATGGAGGTTGAAGTGGTGCCTCCTACTGACGCCAAGCCACAGGTTGGCTTCCCGGCTCTTGGTTTTTTAAGGGTTTTATCCGTTGGGGGCCTCTCAAGGGTGGTTTCTTGATGCTGGTGAGGGGTTCTTGATCTTGGGAATTGGATCCGTGGCCTTATTCCCTGAATTGAACCTTCCGTCCCCCTGCCCGGACATGCGTTTTGATCCTACGGGTTTAGCGCTCTGTGATTAATATCCGTTGAAGGAGAGGTACCTCGAGGCTGGTGAGGGGGCTCATGATCCAGGGAGGTGGAGATGTTTTCTCCTTTGGTTGAACCTGCTGACTTCCTATTCTCTGTGAGCCCTGTGGTCCCTCCGGGTTTAGTACTTTCCCCTGATTTTTAATTCCATTCAAGGCTTGGGTACCTTGATGCTGGTGAGGGGCTCTTGATCCAAGGAACTGATAACCCCCTTTTTTTCCCTCTGAACATCAATGTCTCCCATTCCCCAGGCATTGTGACCCTGACGGTTTTAGTGTTTCCCCATAAATGTAACTTACCATGAACTAAATTTTAATGATTATTTTTAAGATCTTTTTTAATATTCTTGGCCTTGTTAACCCATATATTCTAACTAACATGCACATGTTAGTTATCCTAATTAATCTACACATATACTGCTATGGATGATAATTTATGCAACTATTTATGTGTACCTGTACCTGAATACACTTGCTTGGGCTCAGGGAAATACACTTGTCATTCTGGCACCCTATTACTACTCACACTGCTGTCATCTCAGTGACATGCACCTCTGCTAGAGCATTAAATGTTATTTTGAGTATTAAATATTTTTTTATGGTGGTCGTGGAGATACGCAGATGTTATGGGCACAGGTATAGGTACCTGGTTTGATTCCCAGTCGGTGATGAGATTGTGTTCAGATTTTTAACCCCAGAGGGTTAGCCACCTGGGATAACCCAAAAAAGTTAGTGCGTCATCAAGGGACTATCTTATTTCCAGTGGGGTCCTCAAGCTTGTCCCCCAGGATGCGACCCACACCAGTCGACTAACACCCAGCTTCCTTGTTAGGTGACCAGGACAACAGGTGTAAGGAAACACGCCCAAAGTTTCCACCCTTGCTGGGGATCGAACCATGGATACTCAGTGTGTGAAGCGAGAGCATTGCGTACCAGGACACGGGACACCCATGATAACATTGATCAAGTCTCCTTACACCTGCTGCTCATTTACACCTAGCAGTAATTGGGTGTGTTAACCCCTAAACAGTCCAAACGTATATATGCGTTCTCTCCCCCAGTGCCGCGAATATTTTGAATTTTTTTTTTTCATTGAAATAGAGAAAAATTTTCAGTGTTATAAGATTAAAATAAAAAAATTAGGGTCAGTACTTACTGAGATATATATATATATATATATATATATATATATATATATATATATATATATATATATATATATATATATATATATATATATATATATATATATATATATATTATATATATATATATATATATATATATATATATATATATATATATATATATATATATATATATTATATATATATATATATATATATATAATATATATATATATATATATATTATATATATATATATATATATATATATATATATATATATATATATATATATATATATATATATATATATATATATAATATATATATATATATATATATATATATATATATATATATATATAATATATATATATATATATATATATATATATACATATATATATACATACATACATACATACATACATACACACACACACACACACACACACACACCACACACACACACACACACACACACACACACACACACACACACACACACACAGTGGACCCATGCTTAACGATCACCTCCAAATGCGACCAATTATGTAAGTGTATTTATGTAAGTGCATTTGTACGTGTATGTTTGGGGGTCTGAAATGGACTAATCTACTTCACAATATTCCTTATGGGAAAAAATCCGGTCAGTACTGGCACCTGAACATACTACTGGAATGAAAAAAGTTCGTTAACCGGGGGTCCACTGTATATACATATACAGTGGTCCCTCGTTTTTCGTAATTAATCCGTTCCTGGAGCCGTTACTATAAACGAAATTTAAGATTTACGAATCAATTTTCCCCATAAGAAATAATGTAAATACAATTAATCCGTTCCTGACACCCAGAAGTATTAAAACAACAAAAAAATTTACATGAAATATACATGTAGTACATAAACAATACAATGGGAAATGATGAATGAAACATTAACAGCATAACACCTACCTTTATTGGAGATTCTTCTAAGTGTATGGGAGACTGGAGGAGGAGAGAGAGTGGATTGTTTATAGTTTGGAAGGGGAATCCCCTTCCATCAACACCTCAGGTACCATTTGCTTTTCTGGGGTTGCTTCTCTTCTCTGTTTCTTAATGCCACTAGGACCACCTTGAGAGTCACTGGAGTCCTGTCTCGCAAAATAACTGTGGAGAGAGCTCCCTAAAATGGCCCAAGACTGTCACTGTACATGTTGCCAACCTGGCTTGCAACAACCTTGTTAGGGTGATGTTTCTCCATAAAGCTTTCCATCTTACCCCACATAGTAAAAATCTCTTTAATTTCTGAAGAAGGCACCTTCTTCCATCTCTCTTCCTCCTCCTCTGCAGCAAGATTCTGAGCTGCGATGTGTTGCTCTTCATTCTGAAGCTCTTGCAGCTCCTCAGTGGTGAGCTCTTCATTGTGGTCTTCCACCAATTCTTCCACATCCTCCAAATTCACATCCAACCCCATGGAACTCCCCAGTGGCACAGTTGATTTTACAACAGACATAGGCTCATTAGGGTCAGTCCCAAATCCTTCAAAATCCCTCTTGTCGACACAATTTGGCCACAATTTTCTCCAGGCAGAGTTCAAAGTCCTGGTAGTCACTCCCTCCCAAGCCATACCTATAAGGGTTATGCAGTGGAGGATGCTGAAGTGTTCTCTCCAAAATTCCCTTAGGGTCAAGTGAGTGTCTGTGGTCACAGTCAAGCACCTGTGAAACATTGCTTTTGTGTAGAGTTTTTTAAAGTTTGCAATAACCTGCTGGTCCATGGGTTGGAGGAGAGGAGTGGTATTCGGGGGCAAGAACTTTACTGTGATGAACCCAAACTCCTCGAAAATTAGGTCATCCAAGTTTGGAGGATGAGCAGGTGCATTGTCCATTACTAGCACTCACTTGAGATCCAATTTCTTTTCCAGGAGATACTCCTTCACACTAGGGCCAAACACTTCATTGAACCACTCGATGAAAATTTCCCTCGTGACCCATGCCTTACTATTAGATTTCCTAAACACACACAATTTACTCTTCATAACATTGTTTTTCCTGAACACACTGGGATTTTCAGAATGGTACACTAGTAATGGCTTCACTTTGAAATCCCCACTAGCATTAGCACAGAACATTAGCATCAGCCTGTCTTTCATAGGCTTGTGTCCTGGCATTGCCTTTTCCTCTTGTGTAATGAAGGTCCTCTTTGGCATTTTCTTCCAAAAGAGGCCTGTTTCGTCACAATTGAACACTTGTTCAGGTTTCAGTCCTTCAGCCTCTATGTACTCCTGGAATTCATGCACATATTTTTCAGCCACCTTGTGGTCCGAACTGGCAGCCTCACCATGCCTTACCACACTGTGTATGCCAGTACGGTTCTTAAATCTCTCAAACCAGCCTTTGCTGGCCTTAAATTCACTCCCATCACCACTATTTGCAGGCAGTTTCTTTACCAAATCTTCATGCAACTGCCTTGCCTTTTCACAAATAATCGAAGTCATAAGAGTATCTCCTGCTAATTGTTTCTCATTTATCCACACCAATAATAACTTCTCAACCTCTTCCAGTACTGGTGATCTCATTTTTGTCAGCATAGTTACTCCCTTTGCAACAACAGCATCCTTTATTTCCTTTTTCTTGGCCACTATGGAACATAAGGTTGTGTAGGGTTTCTTATACATCCTGGACAGTTTGGCCACACTTGTACCACTTTCATATTGTTCAATGATGGTTTTCTTAAATTCAATCGTATTTCTCACCTTCTTTACCACAGGCTTGGCACTAGGAGCTTTCTTTGGAGCCATGATAGCTTATTTAGTACTTGCAAGCACAAAAATAAATGGAATATTATGAAATATTTCGCTGGAGCACGTGAGGGGACCTTCGCTCGAGCACGTGAGGGGACCTTCGCTCGAGCACGTGAGGGGACCTTCGCTCGAGCACGTGAGGGGACCTTCGCTTGAGCACGTGAGGGGACCTTCGCTCACTGGTAAACAATGCTAGACTGGCTGCCGCCCCGGCTCACGCTGTGGGTACGTGTCCCGGACGAACTACGACTCGCGAGTCAACCTATGAAAAGCGAGTCCATGTTTATACGAAAATACCCCTATGATTGGCGAAATTTACAATTGCCGGGAACTACGAAAAGCGGGGGACCACTGTATATTTATACACACACACATACACATACATACAGTGGTACCTTGGGATATGAACAACTCCCAACTCTAACACTTATGTAAGTGCTTTTTTTAAGTGTATTTTTGGGGGTCTGAAACAAATTAATCTAATTTACATTATTCCTTATGACGACAAATTCCTTCGGTATCAGCACTCGAATTAAGTTTGTATCCCGAGGTACCACTATATGTATAGATATTTATATATATACAGTATATATATATATTGATATAGATATATATATTGTCTACCAACCTAGTGCCTAGGTTGGTAGACAGCAGCCGCTCAGGGAGGTACTACCGTCCTGATAAGTGAGTGTAAAATGGATACTGTAATTGTTTTATGTGATGGTAGGATTGCTGGTGTTTTTTTTTTCTGTCGCATAAACTTGCAAGGTTTCAGGTACGTCTTGTTACTTCTACTTACACTTAGGTCACACTACACATACATGTACAAGCATGTACAGCCTCTCCTCATCTAGTGACTTACTCATTTACCGACCACTCGGACTTACGACCAGCTTTCCAACCAGTATGCAAAACTAAATAACGTATATTAGAGCTGATTTTCTCTATTCTGTTTATTACAGTATGCAGTACATTGCTGTATGAACATTTAAAAATTATACAAGAATTGTTGTAAATAGTGCAGTGATGACATTAAAAAAATATATAAAAAATGTCGACACAAATCCACTACCATTATAGTATGCTCCTTGCTTAACGACCAACCTGCTCTTAGGAACAGAAGCCCATCATTAAGTGAATATAGGCTGTATATATCTACCCCTTTGGGTTTTCTTCTATTTTCTCGCTAGTTCTTGTTCTTGTTATTTCTTATCTCCATGGGGAAGTGGAACAGAATTCTTCCTTTGTAAGCCATGTGCATCATGAGAGGTGACTAAAATGGGCCACCCCGCCTCAGTGGGGTATGGCCGGTTTGTTGAAAGAAATATGTACACACCTTTTTATTTATTTACTAAAGAAGCACATTGTTTATATTAGGAATACATGTTCATAGGAACAAGTTATGACATAAGTTGTTTGCATCTTTTTAATATAATATGTGTATGACAAAGTATTATTATTTTATTTAATTTGTAGACTCTTCAGAATGGCTACATTCACGTTGGTGCTCCTGCTCCTGATTTCAAGTGTGATGCTCTTGTGGATATGAAGTTTAAAGAGGTAGCAATGAAAGATTACCATGGAAAGTTCATTGCCATCCTCTTCTACCCATTAGACTTCACCTTTGTCTGCCCAACTGAGATAATATCCTTTGCTGAAAGAATTGACGACTTCCATGCTGTTAATTGCGAGGTGCTGGGGTGCTCTACAGATTCTAAGTTCACTCACCTTGCATGGTATGTTGCATAAAATTAGCTTTGTTAACTAGAGAGAGACTGTCATTAACAGTTCAGTATAACTTTTTTTTTTACCTTAAGACACACTTCATTTGATCTGATTTATTTTGTACCTTCAGAATGTAACCTTAGAATAATGATATATACATATGCAATACCCATATTCACAGAGAGCTACTTTATTATTATAATCAAAACAAAGCGCTAAACCCACCAGGGTCATGCAGCGCTGCAGAGAGAGCTGCAGCCAGAGCCAGGCAGCCTCAACTAATTAGATGTTTATCCAGGGAACATCTGATATAGAGCACTTCCCATATAATAGGAAGACAGTATACAAACTATTTGTTAGTCATTTCACGAAGTATAGGATTTTTAGTGTTTATTACTTTCATCATTAATATTTTAACCATTAGTACATGCCATCACTCTCAACTGTTTATCATCTTTCAACACACAATAAAATAATTAATATATGGAGCAAAATAGGATGACTAGGTGGGTATATAAATATGGGAAAGAGGAAAGGAGTCATCCCAGGAAGAGGGAGGGTTTTGAGGGCTATGGGATTGAGCATCTGACAGGCTTGTGTGAACAGGTTAGATCATAGTGTGTAGAGGCAAGTGGTTTTTGTGACCTGAAGTGCTGTTGCAGTATAAGCAAGGTAACATGAAGGGATTCAGGGAAACTGGATAGACAGACTTGAGTCCTGGAGGTGGGCACTCTCAAGAGGGGTTGAGGATGTTGCCTTATGGAAGACCATCTGAACTGTGATGTCAGTACACTTCTGGCAAGACAGCAGATGAATGAATGGTGGTGAATGTGTTTCCTTGGGTCACCCTGCCTCAGCGAGAGATGGCCGGTGTGTTAAAAAAGATTATATTGTTAAACTTCATTTGTTATGCGTTGCTATTTTGAGAGTGAATTTCCATGTTCTACAACATATGAAAACAGTGTATGCATTTTTACTTGATTTTAGGTGCCAAACACCACGTGAGAAGGGTGGAGTTGGCCAGATCCCATTTCCTCTTCTAGCAGACAAATCCATGGAAGTGTCAAAGAAATATGGAGTGCTAAATGAAGCAGCTGGAGTAGCTCATCGCACTCTAGTTATAATTGACACAAAATTAGTGATTCGAGAGGTAGGTACATATCTTGACAATAATGGCTGGTAAACTGTCCTTAATCTGGATGTACTGTTCAGTACAATATAAAGAATAAATAGAAAAAACTAGGGTACTATAAATAGTCTCTTGTGAAACAAAGGGAAGCTTACTGATTGCACTACTGTTTTTTTTTTAATTAGTTTTAATGTAGTTCAATTTGTTTTCTGTTTTTTCTCCACATTTATATTGCATATGTGATGAATGCTGTTAACCTTTAAGTTGTGCCATGGTGGCCTTGAGATTGATGGCCAATGCTATTGTGACTTAAAAACTTAGCCTAACATAAGTGACAAAAAATTCACTTAGCATAGCCAACCTACAAATAATGAATGATATTCATTGCTAACTTCCATCCATTCATGGTTGCTGTCATGTTGAATTCCATATTTTTTATGTTACTCTTTTTTTTTTTTTTTTTTTTCCCCCCCCCGACAAGTCGGCCGTCTCCCACCGAGGCAGGGTGACCCAAAAAAGAGAGAAAATCCCCAAAAAGAAAATACTTTCATCATCATTCAACACTTTCACCACACTCACACATTATCACTGCTTTTGCAGAGGCGCTCAAAATACAACAGTTTAGAAGCATATACATATAAAGATACACAACATATCCCTCCAAACTGCCAACATCACTCATGAGCTGTAATAATCCCACCCCTTAACCATGGCTGTAAGTAATGCCAACCACTAATTCTACTGTGTCAATAGTCATTTCAGATATATTTTCTTTGCACCAGAATATATGTTCCTCTGTGTTTCCTACTTTCTCCCCCACACACACTACTACTACTACATACAAACATACTCTTAGCTCTCTGGAGCCTTTGCAAGTTGATATCAGCTATCAGCCCAAGGCTAGTTGAGAAACCTTATCACCCAACATGGTCAGCATATAGGGGTTTGAAGGAAGATGTGTAACAAAATAGGTGCAGAAATAATCGCTTCACACACACGTAGCATGCTGGGGACATGTATATAAACAAATGTGATAATGCTGCCAGACAAAGTACTAGTATATACGGTAGAACCTGCAGATTTGGTTTCTGCTGTTTACTGTGGCATGAAAATTACCCCTAATTTTGCTTAATAGTGGCACAAAAGTGATGGCAAGTCTTCAAATCCTGAGAAAAGCCACGAAGTGCTTCCCATCAGTGAAAAAAGTGGTAATTCTCGACTTATTGTGCATAATTTGTCAAACTTTAGGTATGTACTGTGTGTGTGTGATATATATATATCTTCTTTCTTTCTTTCAACACACCGGCCGTATCCCACCGAGGCGGGGTGGCCCAAAAGGAAAAACGAAAGTTTCTCCTTTTACATTTAGTAATATATACAGGAGAAGAGGTTACTAGCCCCTTGCTCCCGGCATTTTAGTCGCCTCTTACAACACGCATGGCTTACGGAGGAAGAATTCTGTTCCACTTCCCCATGGAGATAAGAGGAAATAAACAAGAATAAGAACTAGAAAGAAAATAGAAGAAAACCCAGAGGGGTGTGTATATATGTGCTTGTACATGTATGTGTAGTGTGACCTAAGTGTAAGTAGAAGTAGCAAGACATGCCTGTAATCTTGCATATTTATGAGACAGACAAAAGACATCAGCAATCCTACCATCATGTAAAACAATCACAGGCTTCGTTTTACACTCACTTGGCAGGACGGTAGTACCTCCCTGGGTGGTTGCTACATTGGAGCATACATTCATATAAAATTTAAATGTGCAGCAGTGTTATGATGCACCTTAAAAAATAATGATGGAATGTCAGACAAGGTCCAAAATGTTTACCAGAACTTTGAGGATACAAGTTAACAAAGAAAAGCTGAAGGTATTAGACATGGTAGTCACTAATAAGATTACCAAAAGATACAAAATTATTAAGAGCATTTTAAATCACCATTGAAGGATATACAAGAAGTGAGAGCATTTCCTATCATTGTCAAGTAGAACAAGAGGCCATGTTCATAAACTAAGAGAGGAGATCCCGAGGGATAGTAGAAAGTTCTTCATGGAGTGGTAGAACAGTGTGATGAGTTACAAGAAGAAACAACTGCTACAACCTCTGGAAACCCAATATCTCTCATGATAAATATTGAATCCAGAACACTAATTGCTTAGCTCTGCTCCTCTAGTTACAAATAAATACAGTAAACTCTTATTGAAGAAGGGGAGCAAGGTGGCCATTAATGGCATTTGTTGAATAGACACGAAATTCTCTAGTGATCAAAACAAATGGAAAATTCTGTAGCAAATGGATTTTGTTATATCCAAGTCAGTTGTCTCGGCGGGTTTTGTCCCATGTCTTCAGAGTCTGTTAAAGTGAGGGTTTACTGTAATTACAGAGTAATTGTTTTTTAGATTGGCTTAGCATACCATAGCTCCTCTTTTATACTGTTGCCAAACCTGCTATATTCACATATAGTGGTAGATCTGCTCACTATGGGCCATTATAATGCTTGATCATTTAACATTTTTCCCTATCTGGCATTTGCTCAAAAGTTGGAAGCATGAAATCTTTTTTTTTTTTTTTTTTTTTTTTTTACACAGGGTTTGACAAGGTTAAGGATCCCTAGCTTTATTGACAAGCTATTTACAGGTTAAGGATTCCTAACTTTATTGGCAAGCTAAGAGCTGTTACCTACATCAGCTCATTTGAAAGCATTTTTATTGTTATGAGACATACAAGTAGGGAACAGAATGAAATTGGAGCCATCTGTGGGCCAGCATTTTCATTTGATCAACTGACTATCTCGTTGACATCATTATGCTGTACGAATGTGTTCCATACTCGAGTCATCCTGGGTATATAGGATCTCAGATGGAGTGAAGTTCTGGAGAAGGGTACAGCCAGAGTGAAGTTGCTGCTTTCTGCCCGTCTTGTGGCATAAAAGCTTGTTTCACGCTGTCCTCGAAGTGGATCCAAGTGTGGTACTTTGACAATATTGGCCTTGTACATAACAATAAGGCCACCCACATCCCTCCTATGTTGAAGGCTCTGCTGAAATGACAGATCTATCCAGGATGGGTCCAGGTGAGAGATGAGACGTCTTGCTCTGTTCTCTACTCTGTCAAGCAGTCGCAGATGAGACGGGGGGCAGGCAAACCAAGAAAGTGGAGCATACTCAAGGTGCGAGCGTACTTGTGCCTCGTACAATCTTGCAACCCCTACTGTCAAGTAGATGCGAGATACGGCGAAGTGTTGTAAGCTTCCTGGCTGCCTTGTTTGCAAGATTTACAACATGGTTTTTCATGGTTAGTTTGGAGTCAAATTTCACCCCAAGGATATCAACTTCTCCAGGTGCCAACACCCTCCTATTCATCCTTACTACTGCACCAGCATTACCATCATGGTGCCTAGAGACGATCATCATTTGCATTTTCTCAGGTGCAAATGTTACTTGCCATCTATTTCCTCAAGCTGATATAGCTCTCAGCTGGTGATTGATGTAGCTTAGAGCAGCTGGCATTTCTTCTTTTGGATAAGTGAATGTCAGTGTGCAGTCGTCTGCATGTGCATGTGATTCTGGGATGAGATGAAGAAGGTCGTTGAAGTAGACATTCCATAACACTGGTCCGAGCACGCTTCCTAGTGGAACACTTGCCCCAATAGGATGTCTTGCTGATTCCGATTCTTCTGTCAGACTAATTGTACTCTTTCCTCTAATTTCCTATAAGCATTGACATAGGCCAGATGATTGAAAATAAACAGTTTAATGGTGGGAAGAAAGGTTTATGCTGCACTCTGTCTCTTATGAGAGTCGCCCGTAATTTTCTCTGACTGCTGATTTGTAGCTGACTATTTCAGATATTGAATTCTTGTTTTCCTTTCTATTTACTATCAGTATTTTATTTTATTTTCAACATTTTTTGCTATTTATAATTTCCTGTACCATATGGTGCTGAAAGGCCCTCACCAGTTTGGCAATACAGTATTCATGACTACGTATACCTTAATAATAAGAATTCAGAATATAGAAATTAGAGGACAAGTGTGATATCACCAAGGGCTGAGGAGGGGTTCTTACTTGGTTTGGGCATTTTAGAGGATTTTATAGGATGACAAAGAGGGTGTATTAATCTGGGATGGAAGCATGTAGGGGAGTGACCCAGAAACTGTTGGAAGAAGTGGGTAAAGGTTATTGTGAGTGCTAATGGTTTGAGTATCCAGCAGGCTTGTGTGTGTGTGTTAGATCAGAGTGAAGGGAGACTAGTAGATTTTATGGCTTGCTTGTGTTGATCGTGTAACCAAGGTAATTTTTACGAATGGATTTAGGAAATTGCTTAGCCATACTTGAGTCTGGAGGCGGGAAGGATGTGCCTACACTTAGGAGGTGGGTGGGGCTCTGGCAGTTGGAAGGTCCTCTAAATTGTCATATTTGCACACTCCTGGTAAGATAGTGATTGGATAAACAGTTTTCCTTTTTTGGGTGACCCTACCCTGGTGGGAGATGGCCAGTGATGTTTTAAAGAAAGTGATAATGGAGCTATAAAAGCAGTCATGATTTAGTGGTCCATGTTTGCTGAACTTAACCATGTATCTAATTTATGAACATACCATGCAGATCTATGCTCCATAAAAAAAAAAACCATACCACGGATGGGGTTTGAACCCGTGGGTTCAAACCCCACCCATGGTATGGTTTGTTTGCAATCGTATCATTACGATTTCGTGAGCTATGCTCCATACCTGTGCCATATTCCTTAGAACGGTTAATAAACTTTTTCCAATATTCTAATCGTTTGTTTTTCGTTGGTACAAATATATTATGCAGTGATGCACTAAAAATAATACATCATTTTCAGGTAATTGCAAATGACAGCAGCATTGGACGTAGTGTTGATGAAACTCTACGGTTGATACAGGCTCTTCAGTATGCTGACAAGCATGGGCAGGGTATGTTAAGAGTTAATTTCACCATACCATAGTTGGATGCAGTGCAAATTATTTTTATCATTCTTCAGCTGTTTGTTGAAACCAATTAACCTTGTTAATATCATTGCTAAAGTTTATGTACTGTACTGTATTTAAATACTTTTAAAAGTTTATGGAGATCAAGGGCCAGTGATTTAAACATTAGAATAGAGAACAATACACATTGAGAATTATGTTAACAGTGCCTGCATAATGCACAAAAATAGCCACAACCACCTGTTGAATAGTATGATGTGAGATTTAGGACCGGATCTATATTGAGGGCATTGCCTTTAAATTGCAGTTATGCCTTAGCAATACAGTTGTGCAGAACACTGGTAGGTTTTAATATCTCCAAGGTGTTGGCAGCCTAAGATTAATGTGGCTAAGACATTGATGTTGGTAAATTTTTAATGAGTCCTTCTACCTGCTGTATGCATATACTTACTGTCCACTCTTGTTTACCCTACTCTTAGTGAATAAAACGTTTCCTATTAAAAGTTCTCAATGCATTTTTTTTTCTCTTGCTAGCTTGGATTATTTTTGGAAATATTTTTGATAACATTTCTTTAATAGGCCATGCTCTTGCAATTGTATTAGCAAACCATACCATGGGCGGGGATAGAACCCACGATCAGAGAGTCATAAAACTCCAGACCGACACGTTAGCCACTGGGCCAGCTGGCTACAATAAGATTCACCCAACTAGGTATATTTATACACGATGACGGCTTTGAGGGGACTTGAGCTAGAGTTAGTCATGGCCACGCTCATGGGAGATTATCTGTAAAAACTTGTATTTGTGGTCATAGTGGTGCCTATGTTAACCTTCCTATGGTGTATAAATATACCTAGTTGGATGAATCTTATTGTAGCCAGCTGGCCCAGTGGCTAATGCATCGGTTTGGAGTTTTATGACTCCTATTGTGGGTTCTATCCCCACCCATGGTATGGTTTGCTTGCAATCGTGTCATTACGATTTCACGAGTCAATTTTATTGGCGTTTGATTAATGAAGCATGCCTTTTCAGTGTGCCCTGCTGGGTGGAAGCCAGGAGACCAGGCCATTGACCCAAATGAGAAGAAAATGGACATCTCAAAAGAATGACCATACCACACAAATGTTGCAGAGCTCAAGAATACATGTTTAGGTTTTTTGTCAAGTTGTTTCCCTAAAGAAAAGCTTCCTGTGTTTTCAACTTTGTTAGCATCATAACACACAAGTTACTTAAAATTTGATTACAATTTTTTTTTTTTTATGTATTTAGACTACTCACAAGGTTGTGGTGTGCTAGGTTTAGTTACTAGTATGTGTCTGAGGTAAGTTTATTCATGGATTTAGATTTTTTTTTTTTTTTTTTGGTGTGTGTGTGTGTGAACATGATTAAAATTTATCAGCAGAATGTGTTTGGTGTAGCTATGCATACTTCATTAGTGAGAGGTTATCTTCATGCAAGGATTTGATAAATTCATAAATCATTCCCTTTGGTACTTTCTCTTAATTTTAAGCAAGATATTTACTAGATGTAAATGGATTTTCTGTTGCATTACATAATTAAAAGATATTTTCAGCATTTATCAGCAAAGTTGAGTTTTTGTGGCAAGATATACCTAGTTTATGAAAGTTGGTCAATCATTTTATGGGTTTGATCTGTAATATGTTCTGGGGATTCCAGTACAAGAATATGGATGATTTTAGTTGTTACAGTATTTACTATAAATTTTCTCTTATTTTTGTAGCATACAGAAAATCACAATAGTACAACATTCTTGTTTTATATTAAAAACAGTATATGGAAATTTTATTAGCTAATTTGACATTTGTCTCATGAATTTTTTGTTAGTGGCCATAAGGCAACATAGTATATGCTTAAATCACCCTAGATTTTTTTTTTTTTTTATACCGCAATCTAAGATCCAAACTAGTCACAAATATTTGGTCAAGCATTTTCTGTTATTAAACTTTGCTTTCTAAGCTTATTCATTAGGTGAAATACTGCCTATGTTCACTTCAAGCTTTGTATTCAATTCATTATTGTGCACAGTGCTTTAGGTTAACATCAAAACCTATTGAAGATCTTAACTTTTTTACCTATTGTAAAAAATTCAGGTCCAAATATTCTACAGTAATACTAATGCTGAAAATTAGTAAATTAAGTTACTAATTATGTTCAGGACTAGACATATACCAAAGTTACATTGCTTTGCAAACAAGGTAAATAACAGAAATGCTATACAAATTGTTGACTTGCCCATCACAGCAAGTTCAAAAAAGCATTTTGCTAAAATATTTTTATTGCCTTTATCCATTTTTATGTATTTGTAAAGTTTATGAAAGTTGTTAGTGGAGGAATATAATTTTTTAAGTTATGCCATTGTATATCTAGGCTTAATAAATTTGTATACATTTACAGATGGATTTTTAATATTTAAGTGGAGTAACACTTGCCTGCCAGTGAGCTGCATTTTTTTTTTTTTTATCACACTGGCCGATTCCCACCAAGGCAGGGTGGCCCGAAAAAGAAAAACTTTCACCATCATTCATTCCATCACTGTCTTGCCAGAAGGGTGCTTTACACTACAGTTTTTAAACTGCAACATTAACACCCCTCCTTCAGAGTGCAGGCACTGTACTTCCCATCTCCAGGACTAAAGTCCGGCCTGCCGGTAGGTAGTAGGTTGGTAGACAGCAACCACCCAGGGAAGTACTACCGTCCTGCCAGATGACTGTGAAACAGAAACCTGTAACTGTTTTGCATGATGGTAGGATTGCTGGTTTCTTTTTCTGTCTCATAAACATGCTAGATAACAGGGATATCTTGCTACTCCTACTTACACTTTGGTCACACTTCACAGACATGCACATGCATATATATATATACATACATCTAGGTTTTTCTAAATAGCTCTTGTTCTTCTTTATTTCTTCTATTGTCCATGGGGAAGTGGAAAAGAATCTTTCCTCCGTAAGCCATGCGTGTTGTATGAGGCGACTAAAATGCCGGGAGCAATGGGCTAGTAACCCCTTCTCCTGTAGACATTTACTAAAAAAGAAAAGAAGAAAAACTTTATAAAACTGAGCTGCATTATACAGTATTTTCCTAGTCCAGCAACCAACCAACCAACCACTTGTACACTTCTCTTGCTCCTGTAGGTGCTCCCTTGAAGGGATTTTTCTTTTTGATTATAATAATAGGTGAAGGGATTTCATTTTTCTTTTTAGTTGGCTATGCGGGGAAAAGGGGTTACTAGCCCATTGTTCCCAGTAGTTGCCTTTTACAGCACACATGGCTTACGGACGAAAGATTCTTATTCCTCTTCCCCCATTGATATGAAATGAAAAGCAATAAGAAGAACTATTAAGATAAAATCAAAGAAAATTCAGATTGAGTGTGTATACATAAACGTGTACATGTATGTGTAGTGTGACCTTAGTGTAAGTAGAAGTAGTAAGAGGTACCTGAAATCTTGTGCATTTATGAGACAGAAAAAAGGCACCAGCAATCCTACCATCATGTAAAACAATGACAGGCTTTCGTTTTACACTCGGCAGGACGGTAGTACCTCCGTGGGTGGATGCTGTCTACCAACCTACTACCTTAACGTTATCCATGGAGGCAAAGAAGGGAATGTACAAAAGTATAGTGGTACCAACACATATGGGTGTGAAGCTTGGGTTGCAAATGCTGCAGCAAGGAGGTGGCTGGAGGCATTGTAGATGTCCTGTCCAAGGGCAATGTGTGGTGTAAATATTATACAGAGAATTCGAAGTGTGGAAATTAGGAGGAGGTGTGAGAGTTATTAAAAGTATTAGTCAGAGGGGTTGTTGAGGTGGTTTGGTCATTTAGAGAGATTGGATCAAAGAAGAATGACTTGGAGAGCATGTAAATCTGTAGGGGGAAGGAAGGCGGGGTAGTGGTCATCCTCGAAAAAGTTGGAGGGAGGGGGTAAAGAAGGTTCTTATGGGTGAGGGGCTTGGACTTCCAGCAGACATGCATGGGTGTGTTAGATAGTGAATGGAGACAAATGGTATTTGGGACCTGACGAGCTGTTGGAGTGTGAGCAGGGTGGGAGACGGCCGACTTGTTGAAAAAAAAAAAAAAAAAAAAATTCAGGGAAACCGGTTATTTTTATATAGCTGGACTTTGAGAACTGGAAATAAAAAAGGCACAATACCATGACTGGAACGATACACAAATAACCCGCACATAGAAAAGTGGAGCTTACGACGACTGGAAATGGGAAGTACAATGCCTGCACTTTAAAGGAGGGGTTTGGGATATTGGCAGTTTGGAGTGATATGTTGTGTATCTTTATACGTATATGCTTCTGAACTGTTGTGTTCTGGGCACCTCTGCAAAAACAGTGATTATGTATGAGTAAAGTGAAAGTGTTAAATAATAATGAAAGTATTTTCATTTTGGGGATTTTCTTTTTTTGGGTGAGACAGTCGACTTGTTGGAAAAAAAAAAAAATTGAAGGGATATACAGTGGAACCTTGACTTATGAGTGTCCCTGTCCCAACGTACAAGTTTTTTTGAGATACGAGCTGTTGCTGGGTCAGTTTTTTGCTCTGAGTAACGAGCCAGCTCGCCCCACTTCCTCCTCAGCCCAAAACCTGGACACCTCGCTTCTTTTATCTGATTTCATGCTTCAATTCCATGGAAATCATCCTCTTTTTCTTTTCAGCAATGTCCTTTGCACTTACTTTCTTAGGACCCATGCTTAGAAAAACGAAATTTGGCCAAATGACTGTCAAAAATGTAAGCAAAGCATGAGAGAACTGCTCCCACAGCGGGGTAAACAGTTCACTGAGTTGGTGGCGTTCATTACATGTATTATTATTATGGCTTCCTCTGTAAGCCATGCATGTTGTAAAAGTCAACTAAAATGCCGGGAACAATGGGCTAGTAACCCCTTTTCCTGTAATTACTAAAAAGAATAATTATTATTATTATTATAATCAAGGGGGAAGCGCTAAACCCGGAGGATTATACAGCGCCTGGGGGGGGATGTGGAAGGCATTCAGGCTTAATTCGGGGAACTGGAGCACAGATCCAATTCCCTAAATCAAGAGCCCCTCACCAGCATCAAGGAACCTTCCTTGAGGGGCTAAAAAGAATAAGAAAATTGTCAAAGTGGGAAGTCTGTGCGTGGATGTTGTGCAAATGATAAGAAAGAGATGATTGTGGATGTTATGAATGAGAAGAAGCTGAATGTCCTGGCTTTAAGTGAAACAAAGCTGAAGGGGGCAGGAAAGTTTTAGTGGAGAGGAATAAATGGGATTAGGTCAGGGGTTTCAAATAGTTAGAGCTAAAGGAGGAGTAGCAATAATATTGAAGGATAAGCTATGGCAGGAAAAGTAAAACATTTAAATAATACATTTTATGAAAAAGAGGATAAATATACAAGGTATGATAGAGCATGTAATGAAAGTAGTTTGTTAGATTATGTATTGGTGGATAAAAGGTTGATGGGTAGGCTCCAGGATGTACACGTTTATAGAGGGGCAACTGATATATCGGATCATTATTTACGTAGTTGTACCTGCAGTGAGAGTAAGAGGTAGATGGGAAAAGAGGAAAATGGCAACAAGTAAGAGGGAGGTGAAAGCATATAAACTAAGGGGGGAGGAAGTTCGGGTGAGATATAAGCAACTATTGGCAGAAAGGTGGGCTGGTGCAAGTATGAGTAGTGGGGGGGTTGAAGAGGGTTGGAATAGTTTTAAAAATGCAGTAGTAGAATGTGGGGCAGAAGTTTGTGGTTATAGGAGGGTGGGTGCAGGAGGAAAGAGGAGTGATTGGTGGATGAAGTAAAGGGTGTGATAAGAGAAAAAGGTAGCTTATGAGAGGTTTTTACAAAGCAGAAGTGTTATAAGAAGAGTAGAGTATATGGAGAGTAAAAGAAAGGTGAAGAGAGTGCAAAAGGAGAGCAGATGATAGTTGGAGAGGCACTGTCAAGAAATTTTAATGAAAATAAAAAAATTTGGAGTGAGTTAAACAAGAATGCCTAGGGAACAAATGGATTTGTCAGTTAAAAACAAAGTAGGAGAGTTAGTAGATGGGGAGAGGGAGGTATTGGGTAGATGGCGAGAATATTTTGAGGAACTTTTAAATGTCGATGAAGAAAGGGAGGCGGTAATTTCATGCACTGGCCAGGGAGGTATACCATCTTTTAGGACTGAAGAACAGGATGTTAGTATGGGGGAGGCGCATGAGGCATTACGTAGAATGAAAGGGGGTAAAACAGCTGGAACTGACGGGATCATGACAGAAATGTTAAAAGCAGGGGGGGATGTAGTGTTGGAGTGTTTGGTATTTTTGTTTAATAAATGTATGAAAGAGGGGAAGGTACCTAGGGATTGGCAGAGAGCATGTATACTCCCTTTATATAAAGGAAAGGGGGACAAAGGAGATTGTAAAAATTATAGAGGAATAAGTTTACTGAGTATACCAGGAAAAGTGTACGGTTAGGGTTATTATTGAAAGAATTAGAGGTAAGACAGAATGTAGGATTTCGGATGAGAAAGGAGGTTATAGAGTGGGTAGGGGATGTGTAGATCAAGTGTTTACATTGAAACATATATGTGAATATTATTTAGATAAAGGTAGGGAAGTTTTTATTGCATTTATGGATTTACAAAAGGCATATGATAGACTGGATAGGGGAGCAATGTGGCAGATGCTGCAAGTATATGGAATAGATGGTAAGCTACTAAATGCTGTAAAGAGTTTCTATAAGGATAGTGAGGCTCGGGTTAGGGTGTGTAGAAGAGAGGGAGATTACTTCCCGGTAAAAGTAGGTCTTAGACAGGGATGTGTAATGTCACCATGGCTGTTTAATATACAGTGGACCCCCGCTGAACGATCACCTCCAAATGCGACCAATTATGTAAGTGTATTTATGTAAGTGCGTTTGTACGTGTATGTTTGGGGGTCTGAAATGGACTAATCTACTTCACAATATTCCTTATGGGAAAAAATTCGGTCAGTACTGGCACCTGAACATACTACTGGAATGAAAAAAGTTCGTTAACCGGCGGTCCACTGTATTTATAGAAGTAGATGCTAGGGTGTTTGGGAGAGGGGTGGGATTAAATTATGGGGAATCAAATACAAAATGGGAATTGAGACAGTTACTTTTTGCTGATGATACTGTGCTTATGGGAGATTCTAAAGAAAAACTGCAAAGGTTAGTGGACGAGTCTGGGAGTGTGTGTAAAGGTAGAAAGTTGAAAGTGAATATAGAAAAGAGTAAGGTGATGAGGGTATCAAATGATTTAGATAATGAAAAATTGGATATCAGATTGGGGAGGAGGAGTATAGAAGAAGTGAATGGTTTCAGATATTTGGGAGTTGACGTGTCGGAGGATGGATTTATAAAGGATGAGGTTAATCATCGAATTGATGAGGGAAAAAAGGCGAGTGGTGCGTTGAGGTATATGTCTAGACAAAAAACGTTACCTATGGAGGCAAAGAAGGGAATGTATGAAAGTATAGTAGTACCAACACTCTTATATGGATGTGAAGCTTGGGTTGTAAAAGCTGCAGTGAGGAGGAGGTTGGAGGCAGTGGAGATGTCCTGTCTAAGGGCAATGTGTGGTGTAAATATTATGCAGAAAATTTGGAGTGTGGAAATTAGAAGGTGTGGAGCTAATAAATGTATTAGTCAGAGGGCTGAAGAGGGGGGTTGTTAAGGTCGTTTGGTCATTTAGAGAGAATGGATCAAAGTAGAATGACTTGGAGAGCATATCTGTAGGGAAAGGAAGGCAGGGGAGGGGTCGTCCTCGAAAAGGTTGGAAGGAAGGGGTAAAGGAGGTTTTGTGGGCGAGGGGCTTGGACTTCCAGCAAGCGTGAGTGAGCGTGTTCGATAAGAGTGAATGGAGACGAATAGTATTTGGGACCTGACAAGCTGTTGGAATGTGAGCAGGGTAATATTTAGTGAAAGGATTCAGGGAAACCGGTTATTTTTATATAGCCGGACTCGAGTCCTGGAAATGGGAAGTACAATGCCTGCACTCTAAAGGAGGGGTTCGGGATATTAGCAGTTTGGATCGATATGTTGTGTATCTTTATACATATATGCTTCTGAGCTGTTGTATTCTGGGCACCTCCACAAAAACAGTGATTATGTGCGAGTGAGGTGAAAGTCTTGAATGATGAAAGTATTTTCTTTTTGGGTCACCCTGCCTCGGTGGGAGATGGCAGACTTGTTGAAAAAAAAAAATTATTTTTTATAGTGTTTTCCTTAGAAAACTAATGATCTACTGCAGTTAGCCTCAAAAATACGCTGTTTTCTCTTACAATAAGAGCATGGGAAGATACTGTAATCAAAGCGGGACAAGAAATTGCGGACGCTTCTGCTGCTGCCTCTGCCAGCATATTATGGCCTACTTTATTCATTCTAGAGTATATATCATGTTTCTGTGTTAATTATATTGTTTATTATGAATTGTGATGGATAAATAAGCCGTGCGTTTGATAGTAGCGTCTTATTCAAGTATTTTTTCTTGCCTCCAGAGTGCTGGAATGGATTAATGGCTATTCAGTTAATTTAAATGAGGAAAATTGATTTGATATACGAGCAAATTGAGCTACGAGCTAGGTCACGGAACGGATTAAACTCGCAAGTCAAGGTTCCACTGCATACTGCTACAGTGGAGGTTCCTTGAAGTTAGCAAAGGGTTCTAGCCAAGGAATTTGATCTGTCCTCCCTAGGATCAAACTTGATTTCTTCGTATTTCCCTTCTTTTTGATTATTATTATATTCCTATTTCCAAAGTGGTGTGTGAATCCCAGAAGTTTAGAACTCCCACCTCCCTTTTCCAGTCTATAATAATGAGGACTTAGTAAGAAAATGCTTTTTTTGTAGCAAAGGGCCAAAAGAATAAAAATTGGTGCAGTTTTCAAGTCCAGGAGGGCAAGAATCTAATGGTTCACTGCTGAGTTTCCTTACTGCATCTGCGACGAACAAGGCACTCGGCTACCAGAGCGAGGCTGGCCAAACAGGAGCCCATGATCAGTATGTAAAAGGCACCCTGCAGATGGTCTATGCTTAGCACAATCAACCCTCCAGCATCATCCTGAAACATCAACCAAATGAATATAACTTCAGCAGATATTTAGATTAATGCAGCATATTTTAGGTAGTCTAAATGTTTTCCCTGCAAATTTTAGGAAAGGCATGTTTGGGTGGACAGAGGGGTTCAGGTAAAGGAATGCATGAGGGCTCTGGTAGTAAGTGCTAAACTCGCTAGGTTCATACAGAATTTCTTACGAAGTAGATATTGGTTCCTTTTTCCCAATGATGCTGTTTTCTAGGAAGATTCTAAAGAGAAAGTTGTAAGGGTTGGTGAAGGTATGTAAAAGGAAATTCAGTAAACATAGGATAGAGTAAGGTGATGAAAGTGAAAACTAGGGAATGAATGATTAAATATCAGACTGGAGGAAGTAAATGTGTTTGAGTATTTGGGAGTAGACTTTTTGGCTGCTGGGTCTGAAAGACGAGGTGACCCATGGACTTGACCGTATAAAAAAGTCGAGTGGTGCATTGAGCCATCTATGGAGACAAAAAACCTTTTCAATAGACACAAGGAGTGAGTATGAAGCACTGGTTTTAACCTTACCTTGGTGGGACACAGATGGTGTTAATTAGTATTTAAACATTGCAACAAGGGGGCTGGAGGCAGTGATGTGTTAAAGGGCAATGTGTGATGTGAATGTTATGCAGAGTTCAGGGTTTGAGTTTAGGTGTGGGGTTATCAAAAGTATTGCTAAAGTGTGCTGAGGGGTTATTGAGATGATTTGGACAGGATGGAGGAAAATAAGATGACCAGGAGAGTGTATAAATATAGGGTGCAAGGAAGGAATAGGTGTCACCCTAGGAAAGCTTGGAGAAAGTTTAGCACTTCCTTAATAAATAATCCTCATTCCAAACATCCCTGGGACGAGTCCTACCCCTCGTACCTTCCACCCCATGTTTATACATCATCCTATCCTACATCCTCTAAATGACCAAACCAACTTAACCACTCCTCAGTTTTCTCAATTATACCTTTGGTGACCACATATATTAATGTCCATGGTCAAAGTAATTTGTATAATATTCACACCACTCATTGCTTTCAAATATCCTCACTGCCTTTACCACCCTTGATCCCTCAAGGAAGATTCCTTGATGCTGGTGAGGGGCTCTTGATCTAGGGAATTGGATCTGTGCTCCAGTTCCTTGAATTTAGCCTGAATACCTTCCATTCTAACCCCCCCCCCACATCTACTGTAATCCTACAGGTTTAATGCTCCCCCATGATTATAATAATTTATCATCTTCGTTGGCACCACCATACTCTGGTACATTCCTTTTTTCCACCTCAAAAACTATTTTGTGGTTCATCTTGCCTTTCATAGACCCATTTACTGACAGTCATTCCCAAATATCTGTGAATTTACTTCTAGAAAATGAGATTTATTGGAAGATCTTTGTTACCCTCTTCACCTTGCCCTATGTTCACTTAATTTCCTACTCGTACATACCCTTCCAAACTTGTCCACCAACCTTTGCAACTTTTCCGCAGACTCTCCCAAAAGAGCTGTCACTAACAAAAAGTCACTGTGACAACTCCCATCTTTTAATACCACACATAGGATATGTGCTAGACTTATTTGCAGTTGGATGTTTAGTTTTTTTTTTTTTTTTTAAACTGCTCTCACCATTTGGTATGAACCAGTCACTTTTCCAGTAATGCTTTTTTTCCTAGCCAGGACATCTTCCAGCCACTGGTTCACTAGCCCTGCCTCGATTAGTCGTTGGATCATTTTTGCAAAACGATGACGGAAAGGCGCTCCCTTCCTGTTGAAAAAAATTTAAATTAAGATGCTGGTGGATGCATGTTATTTAACACAAATGTATTCGAGAAACAGGTTCTGTGCCAAGGTTCCCCTCAAGGGAGGTTCCTTGATGCTTCTGAGGGGCTCTTGATCTAGGGAATTGGATCTGTGCTCCAGTTCCCTGGATTGAGCCTGAATACCCCCCTGCCCCCCACATGTGCTGTATAATCCTATGGGTTTAGCACTCCCCCATGATAACAGTGATATGTCAAGGTTCATCTAGATCAGCAATCTTTAATTTCATTTGCTTAAAAGGTTGATTTATGATGGATAGGCCCCTCAAGGAAGGTTCCTTGATGTTGGTGAGGGGCTCTTGATTTAGGAAATTGGATCTGTGCTCCAGTTCCCTGAATTAAGCCTGAATGCCTTCCACATCCCTCCCCAGGCGCTGTATAATCCTCCGGGTTTAGCGCTTCCCCTTGATTATAATAATAATAATATGACGGATAGGTCTTGATCCATGAAATTGGACTTGTCCTCCCCAACCTTGGATCAAACCTGATTGCCTTCCATTACCCAGGTGCAGTGTGATCACTACTGGGCCTTCCCCCTTCCTCAGGTGCAGTGTGACCCCTACTGGGTGATACAGCCTTTGGGTCAGACCCAAGGGCTGCCAATTTATCCATCTTATTAGCAGTGTATGTGAGGGGAGGGGTGCTAAACCTGTATGGATCACACTGGCTGCACCTAGAAGGATGAGAAGCATTTAAATTAGAACCAAGAGCCTATCACCAGCATCAAGGAACCTCCCTTGAGGGATCTACCATTTCAGTATGGTGATTCAGAGGCAGGAATCCCTGTTATATTCTTAGTTCCCATCCAACTTATGAAAAGCTAAAATATTGTTTTAATACATACATGATTCTGCCAATAAAATAAATTATCTTTAAAAATATATATACAGTATATGGGATTACTTGATTCCTGGCCCAGTCCCAGACAGAAATATTAAAATGACATTGATAAGCTAATTCGAGACAGTCCTCATAACTGGCACCAGAGGTGGACAATATATTCACACGTCTCATATTCAAGGAAAGCATTAAACCCACTGGAGTCAGTGCCTGGGAAATGGGAGACAATCAGGTTGAGACATAAAGGGAAGGACAAGTCCAACTCTTTGAATCAAGAGCCTTCATACCTGAATGCCCAGCTGAAACCCATCAGATAGAAGTACTCTGTTGTGCTGATATGAAATGGATGTTGTCCCCGAGTGTTGGTGTAAGGTGTCATCAACGGCTTCACCATGTTCTTCCATGTGACGAAGGAGTAACTACCTTTGAGCACCTTCTCTAGTCCCTTTTCCAGCTCTTGGATCTGTTGCAAGTAAAAATGCGACCAAGTCACTAGGCACTACTGTTGTTGGAGGTCTTCGAGAATGCCCCTTCCATGTACAAACTAGAGAAAAATTTGGTTTTGCAGTTGCTATATCACTTAAGAAGGTATCCTCCTAAGCCTCCCTGTGCCTCAAGGCACTCAGCTCAGGTCCGTGGTTCAATCCACGGTATGGATAGAAACTGGAGCATGTTCCCTTAAGACACCTGCTGTCCCTCTTCACCTAGCAGTACAAAAGGTATCTGGGTTATTAGCCGACTTGTGTGAATCGCAGCCTGGGGACGAAACTAGCCTAATCTCCCCGGATTAACCCCTCAAGGAAGGTTCCTTGATGTTGGTGAGGGGCTCTCGATTTAGGGAATTGGATCTGTGCTCCAGTTCCCCGAATTAAGCCTGAATGCCTTCCACATCCCCCCCCCAGGCACTGCATAATCCTATGGGTTTAGCATTCCCCTTGATTATAATAATCCTATATGCAGTATTATCCATACTGGTTTAGCACTTTCCCAAGCTATAATACCTAATTATATGCGATATTAAAAAGCCATCTACACACCACAAAAAAACTGATCTCAGAAAAAGTATTTGAAACATTACCAAATTTTAAAAATACAGATATAAAATGGAATATAGCTTTAACAGTTGTGTGTGTGTGTGTGACTCAACAATCAATATTTGCACCAATAACTCACTACAGTTGTGACCGGGTGTGGAAGTGTGAATTACTCATTACGCTATAATTTGTTCATGATTGTAGCCATGTATAAACGTAAGTAACCATTCTTACAGGATTCATTACCTTTGTAACTTGAGTTCATTATCTTTGTACCTAGTTCAGCTATCAAAACTTTGGGGCCCAGTCCCTGGACCCATTACGTACCTCTGTAATCTGTAAATAACTTTGTAACTTGTCATGATTGTGACTAGACCTACCTGGAGTTCATTACCTTTGTAAATTGTGACCCCTCAAGGAAGGTTCCTTGATGTTGGTGAGGGGCTCTTGATTTAGGGAATTGGATTTGTGCTCCAGTTCCCCGAATTAAGCCTGAATGCCTTCCATATCCCCCCCCCCAGGCGCTGTATAATCCTCCGGGTTTAGCGCTTCCCCCTTGATTATAATAATAATGTAAATTGTGAGTTCATTACCTTTGTAAATTTTGAGTTCATTACCTTTGTAAATTTTGAGTTCATTACCTTTGTAAATTTTGAGTTCATTACCTCTGTAACTTGCTCAGCTATCAAAACTTTGGAGTCCAGTCCCTGGACCAATTATGTACCTCTGTAATCTTTTTGACTACCGCCCACAGGATGGGTATGGGGTGCATAATAAACATATTAAACTAACTGATACACCAGTTGGCAATAATAATAATAATAATATATATTTACTACAAGAACAAGGTATACAGGCCTGGCTGACATCAGTGATACTAATATATAGAAAGCAGTTTGTCATGCAGAGCATTTCGGGCTAATTAGGTCAGTTTTGTCCCAGGATGCGACCAGCACCAGTCGACTAACACCCAGGTACGCATTTTACCGATGGGTGAACATAGACAACTGGTGTCAAGAAACACGTCCGATGTTTCCACCCCTTTGCCGGGAATCGAACCCGGACATCACCATGTGAAGCAAGAGCTTTTGCCAACATGCCCCAGGGCATCGTGGCAAGGTTTGAAACCGACTAGAAGAGACATTCTCAAGTTTTCGCATGGAAAATCGAGAATTTGTTGTATTTAGCGTGAGGAGCTAGTTGCTAGAAATTAGACACTCACCTCAAATCTGTCGTAAATATACCGCATGAGAGGGCCGCTCTCCATGAAGAAGTTGCGATAAATGCTCGTGCGCATATCCTCCATGGCGCCCCAGGTCCATCCAGGACGCTTCAAGAGGTCCTGGAAGGAGTTGATTGGCCTGGAGTACTCCTGGACGGTGAGGTGTGATATTAATGATGACCTGTATGCTGAGGACACCACCAGGCAAACCACCAGCCACCAACCCACTAACACCTGCCAAAGCCAACACAGATTGAATATTTTCATATTATATATGTTTATTACAAAAATTAAGCGGTAAACTCAAAAGGGTCACAAAGTGCTGCATTGAAATGCTCTGCATACTAAGGGGTTTTCTGCGTGCACACCTAAATGTCTCCCACATATGTACAAACATTATCATGCTGAAATAAAGAATCTTTAATCTTTTAATTATAAATAAATCAATAGAAGAAAAAAGAAGCCCTATGCTCTCAGTCTTATAGAATCCAGAATTGTAGCCATAAGCCAGTCTCTCACCCGAGCCATCAGATTGTGGGGCATATTGTCTCGTGCGTTTTCCAGGAGGACTGACCAGCTGAAGTAGAGGGATGAGCCTAGCTTGAGGCCACTTCCACCCAGCAGCCAGGTCCACACTTTCTGCATCACCCAGAAAGCAACACTCCAACATACCAAGCTCAACAGTAGTATCTGCCACACCAAACCTAAGAAAGGCTGTCTAGTAAGTAATTCAGTTTATTTTAACACATCGGGTGTCTCCCACACCAAGCTAAGGCGACCCAAAAAGGGGGAAATACATTCACCATAATTCAACAGAATCATGGTGAATTTATTTCATTTTATGGGTCACCCTACCTCGGTGGGAGACGGCTGTGATGCTCCACTAGTTGCCGTATATTTACTGACAAGTAAATGCAGAAGTGAGAAATAATTTATACCAAAAGCAACTAACATGAATCACGCTCCAATAAACCACTAGAAAAAGAGTGCACGTCACACAGAGGTAGCTGAACAAAGAAACATAGAACATAGAAAATGATTCGTCATAAAATACCTAAAAACTGATTCAGAACTATTGATCATCAAGCACCTGGAATATATTTTAATGAGAACTATAAGAAATCCTTTTCGCTGGTACCTGGATTATTATTATAATCAAAAAGAAGTGCTAAGCCACAAGGGCTATACAGCGCTGGTACCTGGAAAAGGCCTGATGATTGAGAGGTGACGAGGATGAGGTTGTGGCTTGAGGGAGACTATGACCATTGGGTCGCGGGAGTAGAGCTTACAGAACTGAATGATTCGACTTCTGACATAGTTAGGAATGAGCAGTGTTGAGTGGTCCGCTCGGTGGTGTTGTAGTTCGCCCACGATACCTGTCCAGTTACCTTCTTTCCCGAGCAGTCCCCACTGTCTGTCAGCAGGCTCTCGCATTTCGTACCTAAGACACCAGACAAGTTAGGAGTTCCCATTCTCAACTGAAGGTGGAATTTTCTAGGCTGGGCGAGACATATGTGCAAGTCTCCTTACATTTCTTATCTTTATCAGTCGGTAGGTACCTGGATGTCAGTAGACTCGTATGGGTCCCAGTCTAAGGGTAGTAGTATATTAGGCATGGTCTTTGAAATGATCTTATATAGGCTAACGGGTCCTCAGCTGTAAATTCTGTCAAAAACTACCAAAAGAACATCATATCTTCTAGCAAGGATTGCTTTTTAATCGTTCATGGCTAGTATCCAACTGCTAAAGCTTATTGAACCGCTAAATCTAAAATTTCATTGAGAATGCGTCGAGATAACACATGACAAAAACTACATAAAATGTTTTGTTCTGATTATTAACCCGGAGAATTAGCAACATAGATTAACCCAATAAGCCACGTCATTAGTTTAGCTTATTTCCGTTGGGGTTCTTTTAATCCTCTCCTCAAGGATGCGATCCATAAAAGTCGGCTAACACCCAGGTACGAAGTTACTGTTAGGTAAACAGGGACAACAACGGTAAGGACACATGCTCAACGTTTCCACGCACGACAGGAAAATGAAAACTACGTACGTGAAATTGAAATGAGCAGCGAGGGTGTTGAGAATACGGACATCCAGAGAGTCACGAGGAGTGACCGGGGTGATGCCAGGATCACCTCGCCGCTCGTAGTCAGTAAAAGGAAAGTAAGGCATCACGACTACCTGGACTTTGTGGCCATTCATGTTCGCCAGCACGTCTGCAGGAACACATTTAGTATAATAATAATCAAGGGGAAGCACTAAACCCGTAGGATTATATAGCTCCTGTGGGGGGGGGAGACGTGGAAGGTATTCAGGGAACTGGAGCACAGATCCAATTTCCTAGATCAAGAGTCCCTCACCAGCATCAAGGAACCTTCTTTGAGGGGATGCAAGAACACAAAATTATCAAATACTTCAGTGACTCAAGGGGGGTTACACTACTGGGCAGGGAGGCCTAGTAAACTTCGCATGAAGCAATCACAAGCGTTGCCAGCCACGGAAAGTACGCCACTGCAGCCCTACTTTGCCTCGTTATCAAGCTTATGGATTGTGAGCTGATCAATAGTACAGGTTAATTAGTGATCTTTTACACAAACTTCCCTTTGATGGGGATGTATTGATTCTGAAGAAAGGTTACTGAACCAAGGAAATGGAACTACCCATCCCTTTCTCAAACCTGATTGTCTCCAACACCGCCCATTTCCTAGGAGCTGTGTGACTTAAGAGTTTAGGGCTTTCCCAGTGAAAATTTACGCACACTTTATTTTCAATGCCTCGAAACTGGCTTTTACTCAGAGCACTGCGAGGCTGACTGTGATAATACAAACCAGGAAACGTCTCTCCTTTCTGGATGCTGTAGGAGAGATTTGACTGCTGGAGGAACTGGACACCGGGATTGCCTCGCTTACAGTACAAACACCGTTTGTACACTCTTAATTTTGCTTCCTCACCTAGAGAAATAAACACTAATGTTAACAGCCTATACAGGGTAGTTATATTCGTTGTATATCATTACGTTTATGCATTTGAATTATTCGTAAATGTATGAACATAATACAATGGAAGAAAGTGCAGATATCATGAAAGATGTCTGGATTTTTCCCGAGGAGAAGGAACACTACTAAGCTCTGAGATCACAGTAGTCTACAAGCCGCCGTATAGTCTACATGTTATACTTGATATACACCTAAACTACAACTTAGAGCTTAACAGTGTGAGAGGGGCAAGTGACCCAGCTTAAAGTGTTTTATTAATTGAATATAGTTTATATTTTACATTTTTACGTGTATGTAAAAATAAATTGGCTTTCATATTTGTGAAAATTTGTCTGGACTACCTCCAAGTGAGTCGCCTACCCTGGCAAGCTCTGTTGACACCGAGCTCTGAGGTCGGTACCTCAGCCTCACAAGTGGCTTATAGGACAGATTTTTATAAATGACTGATGTTGCAAGAAATCTCGCCTGCATGCACGTTTAAAGGACTAACTTACTTGGTGATGTAGAATTTATTCTGGTCTTCCACCTCCCTAAGCTTAGCCCCTTTGGACTTCCCCTCAGAAACCACGTGCAACTGGGAGCCTTAATTCCTGCAATATTCAATCGTTATTAGTGACCTGCCTGCACCTCAGAAATTCCTATTTCCAAGGGGGGGGGGTGAATCCCCTAGAATACTATGCAGAAAGTGACACTAGCTTCTAGGTAGACAAGAGACACTGGTACGTACTGGGCATGCACTGCCAGCTGCATAAAGGCCTACAGCTCAACTCATTCGCAACTTTCCCGACACTAGCCAGAATCCTAAGAAAAAGTGGAGGTCTTGTCTTACTGTATGGGCCTGACGGAGGAGGTCATCTATGGTACATCGAGGTGCCTCCACCAGATTTCCCCAGGTCTAATATGTGAAGACATGTGGGGGCGCTGCCTGCTGATCAAGGCACATGTTGTTCAGATGGTGTCTAGTCATAGAAGAAAGCTCTGGCGTCTTCGAGATCCACGCCTCGTTGTTCAAACTTGGGCTGCCAGTTCTCCCTAGCTAACTTAACCTAGTGTTTGCCTACATTTGGCCTATTACTACCTATGTTAAGGTCTTAGGTCTACATTATTATCTACAGTTGCCTCAATAATCCTAATATTAGTGTACTAACAGTATAAACTACCTACTTCTTCCCTGAAGGGTATATCGATCAATTAAGAAGTATCTTCCAACCACCTTCGCCAACCCGGGTGAGTGTTTGTGTTTTGGGTGGGTGTAAGGGCCCTCGGTGTGTTTTTCCCCGTTGGGACTTCTCGGACCGAATAAGTAAGTAAATTTATTCAGGTATACACAAATACAGTTACATAGAATTATCATACATAGCAGCATATGTGTAGAGAACCTAGGATAACCCAAAAAAGTCAGACAGAGTGACTTATTTCCATTGGGTTCCAACAATATTTATATAATTTGTGTCCTCTATGGCGGCAATAAACTATTATTACATCTTAATCCTGACATAGCTTAGTACCTCAACGTGGTGATGATCAATGAGCAAAATCCACGTATAGAGAATGGGAAAGGCATGACTTGTTCAAGAATTGTGCCTTGTGTAATTATTATATAAGCATAATCATGGGGGATCGCTAAACCCGTAGGATTATACAGCGCATGTGGGTGGGATGGAAGGTATTCAGACTCAATTCAGGGAACCGGAGCACAGATCCAATTCCCTGGATCAAGAGCCCCTCACCAGCGTCAAGGAACCTCCCTTGAGGGGATATGCCTTATGTAATACACTTCCTGTGGCCTAAATATGTCTTGCAGAATTTTTAGATTATGGTAGGATTGGTGATAATTCAATCTTTACTGGTTTCCCCGCTGCACATTCTTCAGTGTGACATCGAAGTGTGCATTAATTCAGGTTGTGGCTTATCCACTTTTGCTTCGTGTCCACCTTACCTCTTCTGGAAGCCTTCTTTAACCATGCTTTCGATGATAGGTCTTGTCGAGTATGTTGGAGAATGCCATCGTCGATTGCGAGGTAGAGTGCATGTAGCGTATTACGAAGTGAGTGTTGAAGGAGCACGGTCTTCGCTGCTGATCTCGGACCCACCATCACCACACGCAGCTCCGGGTATTGCCACAACCCACACCACTCCAGGAACCTGTCAGCGAGTCGCGGAGTTCGTTTTCACAGGATTTTTGAAGTTTATTTTTCTTTCATACATAAATAGACTCCTGGTTGTCTTCAAGAACGCGCTGGACAGGTACTTGAAGTCAGTACCTGACTTGAAGTCAGTACCTGACCAGCCGGGCTGTGGTTCGTACGTCGGTTTACATGCGGCCAGTAGTAATAGCCTGGTTGATCAGACCCTGGACCACCACTGATTAATCGTTAAAAGATTAAGCAGCCGAGTCAGTAATACAGATAATTTAATATTAAAAATTATAATAATGAAGCTGCAATCCGCTGGATAAAACTTCCGCTAATCTTGAGTCCAGTTTTATTTATCTAGAATAAATACAAATAAATGTACAGATAATTTTGTAAAGAAAAAATTATTAACTCAGTTTGCGAAGGCAGTAACTACTACATACACCAGAGTCTTCAAGTCTTACATACATTCTCAGAAGGACATGAAAGCTGCTAGCATCCGTCTGTGATTGTTTTTACCTCCATCCACATTTTAAAAAATATGGACATTAAAGATTTCAAATCGGGATTTTTATGAAGAATTTCTGAAGACTTTCAGCCAGTCACAATATGAAAATTTTTCTTATTTAGGCTGCTATTCACATATATGAATCTTACTGTCTCGAAGTAAATACACACAGATCTCAATGGATTGTGAAAACGTGCAATTGCATTAAGTTTTATAACCTGTATGAACTGTATCACTGTAGATAACAAGAGCATTTCACCCCTCCATGGAAGATGTGTTCATTTAATATCACATATCTGCAAGTCCCTCCCAAGAAGCTCATTGCTAGTAATCCCTTCCTCAAATCACTTGTTAAAGCAACTGCTCAAGAAGAAATTTCTAGCCTAGCTGGTAGTAATAAGTTATCACAAGTTATATACACTGATGGATCTAAACAGGAGTCTTCTGGCAGGGCTGCATCTGCTCTTGTTGTCACCTCCCTAGTTAAGAACGATAATAAACTTGTTGAACTAGGCATAAGAATTAACAACTGGGCGTCTACACTGCAAACTGAATTGTTTGCAATCCTAATGGCGCTAAAGCTAGCTTATGACACTGAGCTTGACTCTATCATCGTTACTTTTTCTATGTCATCACTGAATGCTCTTGAATCACATAATGACTCCAACAACACGCTCATTGGAGAAGCCAAGTATAGATACTCACAAATCCGGGACAAAGGAATTAATGTACAAATATTAGGGATCCCATCACACATTGGATTACTCATTCATGATAAAGTTGATATGTTAGCCAAGAAAAGTACTCAGAAGGAGAATGTAGAATATAACTTTGGTATAACTGTGTCTAGCATTAGGAATAATATTAGGAGAGAAGTAAATAATGAAAATGATTGTTATAGGAATGCAATTAGAAGCCTGAGTAGATCTATAACCCACTATAACATGAACGTAGATAAGTATGTTTATGGAGCAACTTGCAATGTGAACACTGACTGATGTTGTAGTGGCCAGGCTTAGGCTTGGTTACAAGTACTGACTGATGTTGTAGTGGCCAGGCTTAGGCTTGGTTACAAGTACTGACTGATGTTGTAGTGGCCAGGCTTAGGCTTGGTTACAAGTACTGACTGATGTTGTAGTGGCCAGGCTTAGGCTTGGTTACAAGTGCTTCTGGCAGTTTGGCAGACACACAGATAATGATCAAACTAAATATAAATTATGTGATCAGGCATATAGTCACTGTCTTGAACTTTGAATTGAATTGAATTGAATTGAACTATGTGCTTAATTGTCCACTTAATGAGGAGTACAGAGATAGACAGTATAATAACTTATGTGACATGTCAAGATATCTTATTACTGAAAATAAGATACCAGATAAATGAACTATAGATATGTAGATATAAATCCACATGTACTCCTGTTAACCCTTTGAGGCCTAGTTCCCAGGCCTTTTTTTGTATCCATATGTTCTTGCGCTACCGTCCTCAGGATGGATATGGGGTGCACAATAAACTAGCCACTTCGGTGGCAAAATCTAAAATCTAATCACTGACATCAAAATTACTTAATCCCTGAGAGAGTATTGAAATATACTCCTGGTATTTATATACCGAGACACACCATTGTATATTCTGTCTATGTAATAGCTTATCGTTTGTAGATCCTATAATTTCCTATAAATATTTCAGTTTGATAATAGCTGCAGCTAAATACATTTTATTCGACTTTAAGTAAACATCAGAATATATTTTTCATAAAGAATTAAAAACGTTCACCTGAACACAAGACTGGTGGAGTTCCAGCCGTCAGACTCCTCCTGGTTGACACTACCGCTGTCAAGGAAGATGAGGAGAGCACTACACTTCAGTGATGGGTGTTTCTGCAGCAGCAGCTGAGTCCTGGCTGACTCCTCCATGGTCATCGTTCGTCCTGCCTCCACCACTACCACTCCCGCACCAGATATATACCTGAAACACCTACTGTATCACTAGTCACCACCACCCCCAAGTACATATATGATACACTTAATATGTAGGTTAAGTAGTGTATTATACTTAAATCATTTTTTTTTTTTTTGCTTTTCATATACTCACTCTTGTTACTAGTTATTACTTTTAATTTCAGTAATTACAAGAGCTATATCCTCTGTTTACCTATTACTAGTACACACTTAAATTCTCCTACCAACGCTTCCAAAATCAGTCTTTTGAATACAAATATCGATCCAGATAATCTCTTGTTAAACGGCAATAATAATCCTGTAAACAACTGCCAATATTACACAGCAAGTCAGGTAATAACTGTACCCAGTGTCACCAAGAGCAACAGTATTCAGTTATAATGTTAGATCATTGAGTAAACACCATAATGATCTCTTGGCTCTACTTAGTTTTCTGAATGTTAACATTGTTATTCTTAGTGAAACCTGGCTCAAACATGACTTAACACCCTTTGTCTTACCTGGTTACACAGCCATACATAACTGTAGGTCTGAGCAATTAGGTGGTGGTACTGCTATCTACTATTCTGACGAATTAGAATGTATTAAATCTACTTCCACCAGGGATGAGAATGCTGAATATATATTCACAAAATTCTTAGCTAACACCCCACAAAACCCTATTCGAGTTGGAGCAGTGTACAGGTTACCTCACAAATTCTTAAACATTCAGTGACAACCTAAAAAACGTAATTGATTCAGAGATGAATAAACACCACCTTGTGTTTGCTGGTGACTCCAGCATAAACCTCGTCCTAGCAGATGACCCTCAAGTAGCAGACTTAATAAACACTATGAACAACTGCTTGCTACTATCATCTATAACTAAGTCAAAAAAAATCTGAGCCAAGTGCCTCATTACCTAGCAGCGCTTGAAAAAATTATTATTCTCTGGGAATTCGTAGACCTGCGGAAGGCATTCGATACTGTGGACCACAATATCATGCACTTTAAACTAGAACATTATGGTGTCAGAGGACATACCTTTGCATACATAAAATCTTATCTTAGCAATAGACACCAGTATGTTTCCACAAACTGTAACTTCGTCTACTTAGCCTGTAGCCACAGGAGTGCCCCAAGGCAGTGTCCTTGGCCCTTTGCTATTTCTCATTTACATCAATGATCTCCCCAATGTATCTCATCTCCTTAAACCTATTCTATTTGCAGACGACACTACTTATGTCTTGTCCCACTCAAATCCGACAACGACGAGCTACTAAAAATATCTACGTGGATGAGGACCAATAAACTCACCCTCAAAATCGACAAAACCTACTACATGCTGCTTGGAAACCGAGCTTTAAATATCCAACCTAACATAACAAGACACACCGAGTGCCAAAAAAAAAATTTTTGTCACCTTGACTGGAACCTGAAATTTCATACCCACATCCAGCACATCTACGAAAGTGCACGGTAACAAATGTGATTTAGACACTTCATTTTTATTTTCGCTATTATTTCTCAAGCGCAGAGATTCTCACCTTATCAGCTGAGGCAGTAGTTCACTACGATGCGTGTGATCCACCAATAACAGGTGACAACTGGGTAGAAGTTGCTCTATTACCTGTGTCAGCATCCTGCCCACCTGCACCACCAGGTCATCATCAATCCCAGGGAGGTCACCAGTTCCAGGGAGTTCCACCTGTGTGGCCATGAGCGAGGTGACAGTGATGATGAGGATGAGGACCCCAGTTCGCCAACACTTCATGTTCTGCTGCTGAGATAAGATAAGATAAGATAAGATTTCGTTCGGATTTTTAACCCCGGAGGGTTAGCCACCCAGGATAACCCAAGAAAGTCAGTGCGTCATCGAGGACTGTCTAACTTATTTCCATTGGGGTCCTTAATCTTGTCCCCCAGGATGCGACCCACACCAGTCGACTAACACCCAGGTACCTATTTGCTGCTAGGTGAACAGGACAACAGGTGTAAGGAAACGTGTCGAAATGTTTCCACCCGCCGGGAATCGAACCCGGGCCCTCCGTGTGTGAAGCGGGAGCTTTAGCCACCAGGCCAGGTCACTCACTGGAGAATAAAAATTTCCTGAATGGAAATATTCACAACCAACCAAAAGGGTTAAACAGCCTCAGATGCAGGCTGGAAAATTCTGTTTTTCTTCATTATAATTATTACTACCATTACTAATTTGTATTGGGCTGATGAAGTGACTGGAAGGCGAAATGTTTCCACAATAGTTACCAAAGTGCTGTACAAGTGTCTTATTCATCAACCTGAATATGAAAACTGAGACATGTGCAACATCTGGGTATCTTTACTGTAGGCGTTTCGCCATCCAGTGGCCCGGTGGCCTGGTGGCTAAAGCTCCCGCTTCACCTAGCAGCAAATAGGTACCTGGGTGTTAGTCGACTAGTGTGGGTCGCATCCTGGGGGACAAGATTGAGGACCACAATGGAAATAAGTCAGACAGTCCTCGATGACGCACTGACTTTCTTGGGTTATCCTGGGTGGCTAACCCTCCGGGGTTAAAAAATCCGAACGAAACCTTATCAATACAGATTCTAGGACATAATCTGAAGATAGTAGACCTATATACAAAAGACGAGTCCCTCAGCCTTTGAGTTGGTGTGAAGAGCACCGTAATCGCGAAGATTCTGGAGCAAAGGCAAGGAGGCTGGCGTTTATGTACTAAGTCAGGTGGAAAGGGACGGGACATAGTCACTGGTAGGCGGGATTTCCCAGTGGAAGTAGATCATACCCAAAGGGATGGGTTAGTTGTAGTAGCCGTGAAGGTCATCTACATTACCTTCTTGTACAACTAACCTGAACAACGACGAACAACTGATATCACAAGTTGGTTACTTGTAATATACCACAACGAACCTCTCGTTTATTACACGATATACTTAGCTTTTATTATCGCAGTACATAATTATCTCACGTGAATTATCCACGCGTCACACTATCGATTATTACTGCATTAAACACTCAGATTAAGAATATGATTGTATCGATCTTGAGACGGGGCGAAGGGGAACCTTGACGTGTGACGTGTACAATTGAATAGACGTACTGTACAGTGGCAGACCTACAATTTTGGGGCCCAGAAGCTTGAACTGCTATGGGGGCCGCTTCGGAACCCCTTCTCATACAGTAGACTCAAAAATTTTAAGCAATGTGGACTAAAATCGCTTCTGGGGCAACTTCCGGGATTAGGGGCCCTGAAGCCTAAGCCTCATTAGTTTCTTAGTCAATCCGCCCCTGGGCGTATATTGTACGCCAGATTTACACAAACCTGCCTCGAGTGTACAAGAGACGTACACCAGAAGACGTACCCAGAAGCCCATTGATTAATATGATTTAAAAAAAAAGCATTAAAGATCCCACTCGTTATTCAGCGCTTCGAATATTGAAGTTTGTCGTCACTCACTTTATTTGTATCAATAACAATTTACAATTAACAATTTGCAACTATCATAAACAACTTACTGCTATCGTTAGAGATGCTTATATATTACGAAACTCATCAACACGGTGCAATAAAATAAACTCAAAGCCTATTAGGAGCATTCCGCAAACCATGTCCATTATTCGTTCCAAATTTTAATTTACAATTCACATAAGATGCTCTGTAGTACTAGTTAAGGGTCTGTTTGACTGATTTAAAAAGTTTTTCCAGCCTTGTGGTTTTCACTGATGAGTTCTGGAGGTGTGTACCCATCAAGGGAGGTTCCTTGACACTGGTGAGGGGCTCTTATCTATGAAACTGGATCTGTGCTCCAGTTCCCTGAATTAATCCTGAATACCTTCCACCCCCCTTCCCTATCCACAGGCGCTGTATAATCCTCCGGGTTTAGCGCTTCCCTATTATAATAATAATGGTGTGTAGTCCACGATGTGTGCTGCTTCCTCTCCCTCGAAGGCGTTTTGGAAGTGAATTTTTCATCCATGCTTATCTTGAGGAGTCTGGTACGTAGGTATGATGTACTTTCAACAATGTAGTCTGTTATACCGTTTAAAAGGAATCTTGTACGTCTATTCTGTGTTGTGAGGGTTGCTGGTGTTTGACCTGGTCATTTCACTAGTGGTTTTCTGACTGATGGAGTCAGTTCGAGAGCCTAGATTATGTTGTTGGCTAGGCTACCAGGTCAAAAAAAAAAAATTATGCGTTAGGTGTCAGTGTTTTTCCTAGGTTGTTAACTGCAGTGTTTTTTCGTCTGCAGTCTAAGCAAGAGGGAAATTTTCGTGAATGTTATCAACGGTGTTACACTCATCTGCAAGAAACTCGGTATTACATATTGTATTAGGCCTAATGGAAAAATCGTTTAAGACATCAAATTTATTACTCTTGCCGTAGTGGGAAAAGATGGGGATGATATTGTCTTCAGCGAATTTTCTGTAGCCCTGAAATTTGAAGGTATTTCTGACTTTCAAAAAGTTAGACAGAAAGGAAAGGTAGTGTGTGTGATGCTGCACTATCCACAGGCTCAATTTTCACGAAGGGTGTCACTGTGTTCAGAAAGTCGTGGAAAAGTTCCAGGTTGAAGCGAATCGATGTGAACTGTTATTCGTGAGATGACTAAAAGTTTATTCATGTGAGAGGTATACAATTTATAAAGTATTATAACTGGTTATTAAAAAAAAAGCAAGTGCTCACGAGTTACTTCATTGCTACCAGAGTGATGACGACTATCTCATTTTGGTGTCCAAAAATTTTGCTTTTGCGATATAGAACAAATATACAAAAAAAATCTACGTGTTTTTTTCCTTGCACATACAAAATTGATGTTTATGCACTTATATCATTATTATAATCAAGGGGAAGCTCTAAACCCGTAGGATTACACAGCGCCTGTGGGAGGGGGGGATGTGGAAGGTATTTGGCTTAATTCAGGGAACTGGAGCACAGCTCCAATTCCTAAGATCAAGAGCCCCTCATCAACATCAAGGAACCTTCCTTGAGGGGTTGTGCACTTACAATTAAAACGAAAACACAA